TAAGAAATTTTATTCTAGTGTGGCACCACAGTGCACCAGCCAGGCTACTTGAATCTAACTCTTGGCCATGTTCATGGAAATGCTGCTGGCAGCATCTTAGTAGGCTGAAACAATTTTAGCTTGAGTTTTAAGGGAGGTCTTAAACTTCTTAAATCATGACAAGTGACAGAATTAACAGTTGTGTTGATACTCTTCAGTGACATTCACAGCCAGGCTCAGAGTTAGCACCCTTTAGTCACACCTCATTTCAAAGAGGATGAACAAAAATATCTTAGATCACCGTAGGTAAGGTAGCACTTCCTTGGGAAACAGGGTATTCCAAAATAAAACATTCTGTGAATATTCCTGTCAGTTAAAGCTGATTATGATTATTAGGTTGAATGGGAATAGAATGCCACATTCTGTATTCAACTGGTATAATATTGGTCAGTTTGTTTCTATGGGGTTGTCATCTTCAATTTTTAAGCCAACTAAGAGACTTATTTTCATGCCTGTCAAATGCTAGTAAATAAATGAGTTTGATTCCTAAGGGCTATTCTGTAACATACTCAGTAGAAAGGCATGTTCCAGTTTACAGCCAAATCAAAGAGAAGGTGAAATGTATTTTTAACAACAGAGGCCATAAGACATTCTGCCTTTTTAACCAATTCTAGCTTTTTAAGAATGTTTACATATATGCTTATAATTTAATGATTTGCTAGGGAGGTGTTTTTTGGTCTTTTAAAATCTCACTGTGTATGGGCTGGCCAGTTAGCTCAGTTAGAGTGCAATGTTATAACACCAAGGTCAAGGGTTCGGATCACTGTACTGGCCAGCTGTGAAAAAAAAATCTCACTGTGTATGGAACCAAGATTAATATGGAGATGGCAGACTCATAAGTTTAATTCTGATCATGCCCTTAAGCATCATAGTAAATCATACCATAGTAGCAGCAGGCACTTGAAATATTTAATGGCTATTTTCCAGTGACTGTAAAGTCTGAGAAATTTTGAAGCAGAAAAGTCACATTTAATAATAGAACTTTAGTTCCTATTGTTATTACACTTTTCTCCTTCCATATTCACTCATGGCCCAAACCTTTTTTTGAAGTGCTTTTTTAAGTAGAATCTGCAATAACTGTAGCAGTAACTGATTCTTTTCCTTCAAAAAAACCTATAGAATCAATGCTTTAAATGGCTGATCCATAGTTGTTGNTTTTTTTTTTCTATCAAGGTACTTACATGTCAACTCCAAAGCAACAAAAGATTCCCTTTTTTCCTTCATTATTTAGTTTCTGTAGTGAACCAGGCTGCATGATGCTATCCATTCCCTTCCCTGACCTTGGACTACTCTTCCAAGAGAGAATAGGAGTAGAAGGATGAGTCCTCCCAGTGGTACCCTTCAGCTTGATCAATAAGGGCTCAATAGCCATGCTGAAGCACGATGGCAGTTCCCCAAGTAACTAACACATCATCTATTTTTGGCTGGTATGGGGATCTGAACCCTTGACTTTGGGGTCATCAACACCCCTAACACATTTTAAAATACTAGTTAGACAGGAAGGTGGAGCCTTAAGTCCTCGAGATGGCAAAAAGTGTCATAAATTGCCCAAAGTAATTTGTAGAGGTTCTGTTCATTTACCTTTTTTCTTCTACAGACTAAGGGTTAAAGTCTCTTCTATCTAAGTCTTCAGAGGGATTTACACTTCATTTTATGAAATGACCCAAGATTTTTGGCCAACCATTCCCTTTTTCAGTCTCTTGGGTCCTCTTGTATGCCTGAGAATACCAAGTATTTGGAACCTTCTTTCTCATATCAGCCTTCTGTAAACGACCTCAGCAGGTGGAATAGTCAGGATCTTTGTCTGCTCTTTTTTAACTGAATAGAGGGGAGGCAAGACCTTAAGTCTTATTTGGTCAAAAATTGCAAGGGTTGGCTGGCTAGCTCAGTTGGTTAGAGCATGGTTTTGGTAACACCAAGGTCAAGGGTTTGGATCCCTCTACCAGCCAGCTGCCACAAAAATTTTTAAAATTGCAAAGTCACATCTCAGTAGAGAAGCACCAAAAGGAAAACTAGTTTGGAAGGATTCATTGTAAATAAAAATAGTAACTCAACAGCCCTTACTTCAGGGAAGAGAAGGTATTTTAAAGCTAGTGTATTAAAGTTTCTCCTGTGACTTCAGTGTTGAATGACTCTTGCAAAGGACTTCTTGAAGGCTTTTTTCCCCACCAGGCGGGTTTTGGCAGATAGACTGCACCTCTGCCTGAGAAGTTGCCTGAAAGAGAAAGGAGCATGTGTTACAGGCATGAAGTTGCAGAGGAACACACGACAGCAATCACCTGCCTTCATTTTATTTATTTATTTATTTTTGGCAGATGGCCAGTATAGGGATCTGAACCCTTGCCTTGGTGTTATAACACCATGCTCTAACCAACTGAGCTAACTGGTTAGTCCCTCTGCATTCATTTTATAACTAAGATGACTACTCAAATTGCTTTGATGCAAATACAGGGACTCTGCCCTTGACATATCTACAGTGAATTCTTACTAGAAAATCTTCTGAGTTAAGTACTACAAACATTTTGTTGAAGAGAGGAAATTTCAGAGAAAGTACAGTCTAGTTGTGGACTTATGAAGAGCACTGGGCAGTGGCAACCCCAAAGTGGGCACCAAGCCCCACTGTGCTCTCAGTCCCTTTTTATCATTCCCTGTTTGCTTTGCCAAGGGATCAAAAGAAAGTTGTATTACTTGTTAACTCTCCGAGGCATATTACCATCTGTACCCCTAGCCTATTATGGAAAGCAGTGGTATGGGAAATTTGTGAAGACACTTTGTGGGGATGGGTGCAGAGTGTTATCAGTAACTGTGTTTCTGTGGGCACTTGGTGCTGTCCAGACATGCTTGGAGATGCAGTACCAAAGGAGTTGGCAAGAAGAGCCTGCAGAACAGGGGCAGCCTGACCATAGCCACATACAGGAGAAGCATACATATGCAGAGATAAAGTAGGTATAGATAAGTTTTGCTGCTGTTGTCTTACGTGGTAGGGGTGGTGGTGAAGAGACTGCCATAGAAATGGGAGCACAGGGCACCCTCAACCCAGCAGGCAGCAGGAGTGAAACTCAGTAATGGGAAGCACCACAGTGCACTTTCGTCACCAGAGGGAAGACCTGGCAAGGGTAGTGACTCCTTTTTCAGTATCATGGACTGCCTTCTTCCAGCATTTCATTTGTTTCATCAGCTCTTTGCTCAACAAACTTCTAAGAAGTGTAGTTGACTGTCTCAACAGGAGCTCTAAACCCTAACCAGCACTGGGGTTGGAGGGCAGATGTTCTTCTTGGGCCCCTCTACTTACCAGGTTAAACCTCTTCACATGGGTGCTCCTTTGTTGCCATCAGCTTATTGTCAGGGATGAGGGTACAGCCAGCCAGCATGTCCAGAGAAGCTAAGATGGAGTCATACAGGCGGTCTGCATGGCTCTCCAGCTCACCAGACTGCTTCGCAATCCTCCCAAGGATGTCCTTTAAAACTAACAATGAGATTCAAAGCAATTAGACCCCAAAAACCCATGCAGCTGTTGCCCAGTATCAAAAAAACATACGAGCATCGAGCATGCATATATATATATATATATATAGTGTGTGTGTCTTTCTTTTGGGGGGCAGCTGGCTGGTATGGGGATCTGAACCCTTGACCGTAGTGTCACAACATATATATAGGATTTCACACAAAACAGGACCACGGCAAGTTTCAGAATGTTTACCTGTCTTTTTTCACAACTGGCTGTGGGGATCCGAACCCTTGACCGTGGTTTTATTAGCACCACCACACTCTAACCAACTGAGCTAACCAGCCAACCTGTCTTTTTAATGGTGATTCTCCAAGGACCTCTGTTGCACTAGGGGATCTATGTTGTTAACTTCCGATTAAAGCTAAGAGAATTCACTGGCTGCACTTAGGAATTACATAATTCACAGAAAGGCAAAGGCACACAGACATGATTCCCTGGTGACTGGTATTACCCGACTTCAGAGATAAGACACAGGCACACCCATATCTTGTCAGGCATAAGGCTTCAATGAAATAAAACTTGTCAACATTAGGACACTGGGCTCCTACCAGGTCCTATCAACTTCTGTTGGCTGGGGGGTCAAGCGTTTCACATATGGGTGGTGTGGTAATGTATTTGGGAATGCTCGTGGACCCTTTTTTGTGCATCCTTAGTGAAAAGACTTAAAAGGAAAGTGATCTGAGAGCAGGCTAAGACAAGATTGTTAGTTAGGACAAGATTCACTCCTATATGCCAGAAGTGTTCATGTGAGGAAGGGATGGGCTAGGGTCACTGCATCACACAGCAGGCTTGTTTTTTCTCCTAAAGCATTTATTTCTTTTGTTAAACACAAAGGCTGCCTTTGCTTCCTGTGCCTTTATCAGCTGTGTTAATACTCCCTAGTTTCCTGCCACAGCTGCAATATCTGCCAGCAGAGGAAAAGAAAGGGGAAGCTGTGTATCTACAGACAATGCTGACTGGGTGGGCGGAAGGAGAAGGAACACAGCCCCTTGGTAAGCCACATCAGTGTGGTGTCATCAGGGCAAAATGCTGTCCTGACAACTCACGAGAGCTGGCAAGGCGCTGCAGAGGAAACAGCCTGAGTGTGCAGTAAAGCCTGGCCATAATGGTGGCCGGGCTGTGTTCTCCCCTCCACCTTCAACAGGCCTTTGCTCAGTCTTCCTTGTGTGTTGTCAAAGGGGAACTTTATTTTTTTGAACTTTTATTTTAGACTGTTAAAATGTTTGGTTGGGGCAAATAAAAGAGAAGCTAGGAAGGGGAATGAGATAGACATCTTTCCCCAGTGAGATTTTTGTGTTTTAACAGAATACGTACAGGGGCCTGGTCTGGCCAATAGGTTTCTATACGAAGTTATTACGCTTATTCTCTTAGGAATTTGTCAGATTTCCACATGGAAGCCCTTGGCAGGAACCTGAGACGGACATTTTGGAGGGGGAAGTAGATTTTGGCCCAGATTTCCACATGCACATGGAAGCCCTTGGCAGGAACCTGAGACGGACATTTTGGAGGGGGAAGTAGATTTTGGCTTCACATCCCTAAGGTTATTCTTGTAGCCGAGTAAGAAGGCAGGCTCTGAAGAGGCTGGGGGGATGTTTGTGTGCTGACTCTCCTGACTCTGCTCCTGGAGGAAGAAAGGAAGTTGTGCACTTAGCAGGAGACAGACAGTGTGAAGTGTCAAGGGGAACTTGTGGTTTTCACAAAATAGCCAAGCTCCTGTTATTCCAAGCAGAGGATGGGGAAGGCACTGTGTCAACCTGAAAGAGCCTGGACATATAATTGAGAACCACAGAAAACCCAGAAGCCTCTTACTTTGGCCAGTAAAATACCTCTAGACCCCTTTTGAGAGAAGGGTAAAGTGGGATGCTCTTATTGCCAATAAGGCACTGGAAAATATCATTGAATTGATTTTTAAACAAAGATCAGAAAAACTGTAGCTTTTACAAGGCCTATTTTCACATGTGGTCTCCATGAGGAGTGGAGGTTCCTGGCAGTTGAGCTCTTTGCCTTTCTCTCAGGCCCCTGTGCCTCCAGACACTGTGACAGCAGCAAGGAGCCAGCATACAGGGGCTCAGGCAAGCTGTCACTGCTCGTGTGGCCTGAGGCAGATTCACAACTAAGATGAGAGTAACTATAGTATCCATCTCACAGGGCTGTGATTAGATGAAGAAAAACTGATACGCCAACTGCTTCAGCTCACTGTTTGGCCCATAGTAAGTATTCTGTAAAATGCTAGTGTGATTACAAGTAGCAAGGACACTTGGCATTCTGAATTTCTGCCCCAATAAAAAACCTAAAAGCTGTTGTTTTGGCTAACAACAACAACAACAAAAAAACCCCAAAACCTAAAAACAGTACAAGAGAACACCAGAAGAGCTAAAACAACAGCCTTAATAGGGCAGGAGATTGCAAAAAGCTCACATAATTCACACTGGATAATCGCTTCCCGCCGAAAACTCTTCAGTGGTCTTGTCCATCAAAACCTCTCTGACTATTCATGGTTCTCAGCTCTAGTGATTTTTCTTCTCAGGGTACATTTGGCAATGTCTACAAACATTTTGATCGTCAAACTGTTGTAGATGTCTGTGGGCATCTAGTGGGGTGAGGGATGCTGCTAAGCATCCTGCAGTGCATAGGACAGCCCCCACAAGGAATTGTGGGCCCCCAACGGCAGTAGTACCGAGGTTGAGAAACCCTGCTCTGTGCCACCTCCCCCATATGCACCTGCCCACCACTCTAGTTAGGAAAGTGCCTCCTCTCAAGCCCCACCGTGCCTGTCCAGCTTTGCTTATGTGGTGTGATTTCCAGTGTAAATCCCACCTTACTCCAACACACAAACTGAAGAAAAAAAAAAAGAAAAACCAAAACCAAACAGAAACAGGCATAATATAGATGGGCTCTTTTAGCACTTGGTTGTGTGAAGTCTTACAGGAAATTAGGGGCTGCTTTTGAGGGGCAGAAGTACATCAGTTCAAGGATTAACCTAGCATTCCAGCTTATCCTGCACATCTTATCCCCTCCCCCCTAGGGACAATGATGATTAGAAAGCCTTAGCAGCTGGCAAGCATGGATGTGCTCTTGAAGTCTGTGATTTTTACTTTCCTAATTGGGAACTCATCATACAAAAAGGGCTTGAACTTGGTTTACACGCGACCGCCACCCTGCCCCTCTCATCGGTTCTCATCTTTCATTTGGTCCATTCCCTGAGAACAGACCAACTGTTCTCCAATCCTTTTGATCAATTCAATCCTTTTCTGAAACAAATCCTTCTCCAAAGCAGAACGCAAAGCAGATAACCAGAGAACAGTTTGACCTGAGCTGGGTAAGATGGGGAACCCCTGAGGCTACCAGTGACTACCCCAGCCACACACTAAGGACAGCTGGATTCACACCAGGATTCCCACCCAGAACACCAGGGAAATAAGAAAGCAGAAGCAAAAAAGATTGTTGTTGCAGGCTCGATGCCTCATTTTTTTTTTATAAGTAAAGTTTTCTATTAGAAAGCTCATTTTTTGTTGTTGTTGGGGTTTTTTTGGTGGCTGGCAGTACAGGAATCAAACCCTTGACCTTGTTGTTATCAGCACAGCACTCTAACCAACTGAGCTACCCAGCCAGCCCCTCGGTGCCTAATTTCTAATGGGCTTGCTCTGATGACTGCCACTGTCTCGTGGGTCTGCAGGGGCAAGTGGCTGGCAGTACAGGAATCAAACCCTTGACCTTGTTGTTATCAGCACAGCACTCTAACCAACTGAGCTACCCAGCCAGCCCCTCGATGCCTAATTTCTAATGGGCTTGCTCTGATGACTGCCACTGTCTCGTGGGTCTGCAGGGGCAATGACGATGTGAGGAGCTGGCAAGCGGCCAGTCATGGGAATCTAAGGCAGTGCGTGTGGGGGGGACTGGTACTGGCTCCTCCTAGGGATGGTGTGGGTCCCTGGGCCTGCTGCTGAGACATACTGAGCTCTGGCTAAATTCAAAACCTCAAGCATCTCACCTGGGGTGTTATCCAACAGGCACTGAAGAAGAGTCTCCCCCTTGTGTAAGACACTCTCCGTCAGGGACTGATGTTCATCTATATCTCTCTTAAATTGCTTAAAGCATATCAGGAAAAGAAGAAAAAGCTTCATTAGTACTGTTTTGTAAAGTTACTCAAAACACCATGCAAAGCAAGTTGATTCCCCCCCTGACTGGAAGATACATCCCACCCAGTCTGCAGAATCCCCCAAGTGAACAGTGCAGTAGTTTAACTTCAGCTTCTTTGAGCCCAAGGTAAACAGTCAATGGTTTTTTTCTGTTCAGTTTGACGTCAGAAGCGTTTTCTTTCCCCTGGCAAAGGCTGGCCCATGAACAGCTGGAGTCAGGGTTTCCTTCTTGTCTCCCTCCTCATGGGATTCTCTGTAACTCACAGGGGTTAGGGGATTCTCAAAACAAATTGTATCCTATTCTAATGGGCCTGATAAGCAAGAACCACAAGAGATTTGCCACTAAGTTGACCACAGGGAGCTGCTGCCTCTATCTCAGTGTCCTCACTATATGCAGACCTCCAGGGTAATCACCCCAGCATCAAAGCAGCAGCAAGTCTCCTAAGCAGCTCATCTGTTTTCCCCCAGCAGCTACCAAGCCTTGTAGCTGACTGTTTTTGATGTTCCTTTAGCAGCTGAGAAGTGTAAAGTCAAATCCTTTAGTCCAGGGTGCAGAACTTCGTGCTTAACATTTTGAAGTGATCATTCTACTCTTGGATTTACTATTTTCCTGTCTTCAGTTTTTCTTTGCCCTGTACCTACACTTATTATTTTATTCTCTGGTACTCCGTGTAGTTTTAATGCTGGCTTGACCCTACTAGTATATGAGAAAATGAGTCACAGTAAAATAAGTGAATACATACACACACATACACTTATACGAGGTCTTGATCTAAGCAGGAGTCAAGGTAACTCATACATATGCATGAGCTGTGCAGCATTCTGTACAGGAAAGGGGTTGACAGTGCCATCCCCCTTTGTGACACAGTTGTGTAGGTGACACAAGAGGCCTAGGTTTCACTGATGTGCAAGAGTAACTCCCGGCTCAGATCTCAGCTCTACCCACAGAGCAAAATGATTGCTCTGGCTAGCCTGGAAGTCGAGGCACAGAGGATGGTATGAGGGATAAAACAGAGGGAATGGAGTTACTCTATTTGTGCCTGCTCTGACAGGCCAGGAAAGGCCATCAAGATAAGTCTAACAGGAAAATTTCCCTGCAATGTACTGTCTCTGGGCCTCCGGCACACATGTAAGCATGCATGCAGGGTCTGCACACAGAGGACCCTGGGATTCAGCCTTCCTCTCCTTCCTCAAGCTCAACGCTGGGCGAGGAACCCTTGACAACCTCTCTCTAAGCATGCATGCAGGGTCTGCACACAGAGGACCCTGGGACTCAGCCTTCCTCTCCTTCCTCAAGCTCAACGCTGGGCGAGGAACCCTTGACAACCTCTCTCTACACTGCAGGAAACAGCACCAAGGGTGGAGCAGCTGGCCCTGCAGCCCAGGCCCAGGCGAGGCTTTTCCCTCCTCTTCCCAGCCAGGGTGTGGTCTCAGCAAGGCTCTGAGTCAGCTTGGCCCATGGGTCATGCAGCCCTGGCTCAGGCACATGGAAATCATGCCCTCTTCTGCTGAAGATATGGTCAGGTTACAAGGTTGAAGAAACTCAAAGAACTGTCCAGAAAACACTGTCTAAACCAGCATCAGGCTCAGGCCACAGAAATGGCCTCTGCTCCTTCATGAAGAAGTTAGAAAGGTTTGGCCAACCAGATGGGCTAGAAGTCAGTAGCTCAGCCAAGGTTAATGTTATGCTTGGGTATAACAACTATACAATTTATCCTCCAATTCAGGACACTCCTGAGAATGAAAGTGGACTAATTATGCCAGAATAAAAGGCACAAACTAGAATGTATAATCACCCTAAATATACATAGTATAGAATTGAGTTATCTAAAATCCACAAAGAAGTATTTTAAAATAACAGAAGCATAATGAAAAGGAGGCAAACAAAACAAACAACAGCCCCCCACCCATGTACACAAGCAAACTGATGTTAGATTTTTGTTTAAATACCATCAAAATGCCCCGTGTATATTCTGGAGTCAGTACAATTTCAACTCAGATCCTTAAATACCAGCATAGTTCAATAGAACTTTCTGTGAAGATGGAAGTATTCTATATCTGCTCTGTTCAATGTGGTAGCCACTAGACAAATGTGGTGATTGAGCACTTAGAATGTGGCTAGTGCAACTAAAAAATATTAATCTTTACTTTTACTTAATTTAAATAGTCATATGTAACTAGTGGCTCTGTAATAAATAACACAGGCCTATAGTTATAAATCCCTGAGACATCTGGAAAATTACATTGTAAATCATAAAGTATTTTTGTTTGTTTTGTTTTGTGGCAGCTGGCTGGTATGGGGATCTGAATCCTTGACCTTGGTGTTACAACACCACGCTCTAACCAACTGAGCTAACCAGCCATCCCAGTATTTTTGGTTCAAGATAAATATAATGTATTTTCTCCAAACTCTATTTGGCCTGGGAAACAACTCATGCATTTTATAAAGTTTTCAGCATTAAGAATTTGAAAGGGCCTCTGACTAGATTTCAGGTAAACAGTCAACTGAGCTATAACACACCAGGAATCAGTTGAGCTTTTACTTTGTAATCAAGTAATTTAGCCACTACTCTCCTGAGTGAACAAGCCAGAAGCCAGGACCACATATTACCCGGTAAAGCTGCAGAGAAGACTTGAGACCTGTAAGATTGGACCTGGGTGGAATCCCGTGGTGTGTAACATCTACGACATTATACAGCCAGTGGATCAGTTCTTCCAGCTGACAGCAAAATGTCTGTGGAGACGAATAAAGAGCACATGGTGTTACTGATGGAACTGATGTTTACACTAGCAAAAGGCTAAAAATATCAGGGGGATTCGGGAGACAGATGTGCACCTTTCCAGAGCTTTCCCTCCCTGAGGCATCAGTCCCCCCTTTCCTCCTCCCTGGCCTGTCCCCACCCCATGACTCTAGTCCTCCCTCTGCTAGGGCAATGAAAAGCCCCACTGGGTTCTGTCTCCTTCAGCCTGAGGTGACACCAAAAATGACAGACTGAGAAAACCCAGCCCTGGAGGTAGGAGTGGAGCAGCCAAGGGAAGATCAGGGATGGGGAACAGCCGAGAAAGGGTGTGCCTGCCATGGAAACCAGTTCTCAGATCAGCACCATTACTATCTAATGGCTTCTGTGGGAAACAGGAAAGGTAAAATAAATGACTAATAAAATGACTAACCTGAACCTATAGCCAAAAATGACACTACCTCATGGTATCTCAATCTGTTGTCACAAAAGGGCACACGATAACATTTGTCCGACCTGCTTCACAGGACAATTAAAACCATCCATGTAACAGCCAGGAAGGCGAAGCCCTCCCTGAGGGCTGGGACGCGCTGGCTCACAGGCCATCTGCTCCGCGGCAGTGCTGGTGTCACAGGGGAGGCAGGGCAGTGGACACTTGGAGTGGGGAGAGTCACCTTCCTGGACCTTCATCATGAGTCAGGGACTGCGTGAAGCCCTCGACATGCATTATTTCATTTAATCCATACAACACCCCAAAGAGGCAGTGATCCACAGTTTATAAACAAGTAAACTCAAGAGACTGAGCCAAAATTCCAAAGACACATGATTCAAATTCAGATCTAGCATTATTTCATTTAATCCATACAACACCCCAAAGAGGCAGTGATCCACAGTTTACAAACAAGTAAACTCAAGAGACTGAGCCAAAATTCCAAAGACACATGATTCAAATTCAGATCTGCCTGACCCTGACGACCCCATTCCATGCAGTATTAATTACGCCTGCAGATGGTAATAGCTGGTCCACAAAAGAAGGTTCAGTGACCAAGAAGTCTAGGAAACGGCACATCCAATGCCCCTAACTTTGCAGAGTGACACCACTTTGGCAAATGAAGCTCTGAGAAGTCCTACCTTCAAGAAGCTACTCACCTTTGCTTAGGCCAGTTTCCCAAAGGCATCTGTGCACAGAACCTTTTGTGCAGAACACCTCTGAGCTGGGAAGCAGCCAGGGGCGGTGGTGAAGAGATCAGCCTCTGTGGATGGTCTGCCTGGGTCTGATTCCTGGCTCTAGTCCTTGCTAATTATAAGTGGGCAAGTTACCTGACCTCGCTGCCTTTTTCTCCAGTGAAATGAGAATAGTGTACTTATCTGGCAAGAGTTGTAAGGATTAAATAAGATAAGGTACAGCACAGTGCCTGGCACATAAAAAGTGCTTGGTCAGCATTCACCAGTTTCCTCACAGTGTTAGTAGTAGCCTGGGGAAAGAAGAGATGAGACCCTTGTACACAAAGCCTCTTTACCTTCACACACTGTACCAGCGATTCTTTTCCCTGCTCTCCTCCCTTCCTAGGAAGCTGCCCTTCAGCATCTGGGTCTGAGAATGGCCACCGGTCCAACACAGCTGGCAAGGAGGTGTGTGTTTTCAGCAGTCCAGAGGAGCCCCCGAGGGCCTGGCTGCTCACCAGACCGCCTTCCCCTACAGAGTGCCGAGCACGGGCCAAGGAGCGCAGGAAACAGTGGTTCTGGCCCTCAGGGTCCCCAGACCCTCGCAGGGCGGCTGTCGATGGAAGCTGGCTTTGGCTAGAGTCTGATGGGAGGGAAGTCGGCCCGTCACTTTCTGACACTTCCAGGGAGCTCTGCCCTTCGGCAGCCCCAGGACGCAGGGTCACCAAGGTGGGAATGGAACCTATATACGAAACTAAACTAGAAACCTGTGACAGCCGAGTAGGCAGGGCAAGATACTCGTCCTCACTCTCCAACTCCTCCTCTGATTTCCATCCAGGCTCCATGCAGGCAGGGTGCCAGACACTCTGGTCAGCCCCCTTCTCTCTTTCTGGCCTGGGAGAGGGCCACCCTCTGTTCCATGTCCTCAGCTGGGGAGAGCCCACCTCGAGGCGCTTGTCCATGGGTAACCAGTCCTTTACGCCCCTTAGGGCTGGCTGTCTGCTATCCCGAGGAGCATTCTTGCTGTCTAGGTCTCTGGGGGTAGATGCGAGCTTGCTCCAAGATGCCAAGCCCATGTTGCCCTGCTTCTGGTGCACTCCAGAAGGCCACCGCTTAAGGCTTGGCTCTCTGGGCCCAGAAAAGGGAAGGGCAGTGGCCTCTGCTGGTGGGCAATTCAGGGAGACATTAGTGGGTGATTTGAGGGTGCTTGCTGGGGAGACAGAGAAGCTATCCAGGTCCACACCTGAGTCCTGCAGGACAGGGTCAGCTGGCACATGGCTGTCCAGGTGCTTTGGGAGGTGAGGTCCAGGCCTCAGTGGGTAAGTATAGTCAAGCAGGTCTTCATACTCTTTATTTGGGTTCCAAAGAGGGGAATGGCGATCGGGAGAAGGAGGCAGGGAATCTGGCAGCACACAGGCCCAGTACTCGGCCTGGAAGGAGAGGCGCCTCCTGCCCAGCCCAGCAGCATCACCCCCAGAGGACACAGGCAGTGGCGACCACTGGAGCTGAGGTCCTGGCCCCACCACAGAGGAGGGTGCCTGGGGGACAACCAGCTCCAGGGAGGAGGAGACCTTGGCAAGGGAGCAACTCTGAGGCTCTGCCTTCTTTTGGTGACCCTGGAGGCTGCTGCCTGTGGAGGAGGCAGAGACGCTACAGCTGGAAGGCTGAGGAGCAGCGGTCCCCGGGCTCACTGCAGACTTCCACCGTGACGGGAAAGGGAAACCGGAGATGTCGGGCCGCTGGCTGAGGTCCAGCACCCGAGGCGAATCAACTAGGGATGGGTCATCTTCGGTATCAGAATCATGTCCTGAGCACACAACTGTAGTTCTGGGGACATGAAGAGTCTGAGGTAGCTCCTCAGAGGCCGAAAGCTTGGTCTCCTCCATCTGCAATGATACAAAGGAAGAAAAAGCACTCAAGTGAAAATATTAAACCAAAGTGACAACTCAAGAGTTTTCTCATAGGCCCAGATGGTATTCAGGAAAGATCTCAAAATGACAAGTCTGCTGCCTGAGGCAAGAAGCAGACGAAGAGTGTGAGCTGCTGGTGGCCAACATGGAGACTCGGCCAGCTCTGGGAAGCAGCATTGTCGTCCCCAAACTGATGCCCAGCCCCAGCCCTTTCAAAAGTCCTTCCTCCATAGCTATTCAGCTTGTGAGCGAGCAGAACGCAGATGGCTCTGTCATGCTGAAGTTGGAATACACTGCCTGACCCTTGAGACGCTTGTCCTGGGCAGAAAAAATGCTCGATCCTTCTGTTGCTGACAGGAGACATCTAAACCCAGCAGACCCCATGCTGCTCGGCTCACACACCAGTGGTAACTGAACACTGGCAAAACAAGCCATTTGTCTCAGCTTCTTCCCATTGAATCTTTAATCTGCTCGATGAAGAACTCACCCAAGGGAGGAAGGATAGTACAATGGTTAAGAGCACAGACTTTGGAACCAGAAAGACCTGATTTCATCCCCTACTGGAATGTATGACTTTGAGCCTCACTTCCCTCCACTGTGAAATGCAGACACTAATAGCACCACCTCCTCAGGACGTAAGGATGAAATGAGCTTGTGTGAAAAGCACATGGTGCTTCTCATTCCAAGTATGGCCAGTGACCAAAGAGAGAGAGACCAGCGACTCCCTGCAGGGTAGCTTGGGTTATGCTGAACCTGTAACTGAGGGAAGCTGTGGAAACCTCAGCAGGTAACAGCGGCAGTGTCACACAGCGCATGTGCGTAGGTGACAGAGGGCAAGAGAGCAGGCAGCTGCAGGCAGGAGAGGGAGGAAAGAGTTGGGACATAGGACCTGCACACAGGACCCTTCCAATCCCAAGAGCTTCGGGGAAAACAGAAGGAGACACCCAGGCCTAAGCGTGCCAGCAAGAGCTGCTGCTGGGAGCACTGGGGGCTGGAGCTGGGGGCTGAAAGGCCTGCAGGAGGAAGACTAACTCTGGGAGGACTTAAAAGGG